CTTATCGGTGAAAAAATATATGTCTTGAAAATCGGACTAAGTGCGTTATTTTCCTTATATGGGATTAACACATGAAAAATAAGTAGAAACGAGAAAGCTCGAAAAGAGAAATCAATAAAGCAGCTTAGGAGAATGAACCAACAAGTGCTTCTAGAGATTATTTTTTGAAACAGTATTCAATAATTAAATTACGCTCTATTTGGTGATTTAAATTAGCTTTCCCAGGGAAAAAAGTAATTATTTTTTCGTGTGCAACTTTACACTTCCCGAAGTCCTTAAAGCACATTCCAAACAATATTTGTGTTCTTACATTCAGTAATGAATTTTAAACAAAATGGTCTCTCATGAGGCAGGTATCAAGTTACTCTCCTTTAACTACGAAATGTTTAAATGTGTTTATTCATTTACTTTTTTCTTTTCTTTTTTGTTTATAAGTAAGGGATTATCTTAATTAAGGAATATAAAGCCCTTGTAAGCTAAGGTAAACGATTTGTTCTTCAATGAAAGTGACGTGTGCGTATCATACATAGTTAAAAAAAGGTGCATTTAGTTTATTTTCTTTTTTATTGATATTTATAATATATTTATCATTTCGTTAGTTTATTGCGTTACATACAAATTCTTGTGATGCAATCGATTGTGTTTGAATTAGTTATTATGTAATTTATTGACTTACGGAACAAACAAAGCGGAAAATTAGATTAGTTAACTTATTATTATCTATCAATAACAAACGTGTGCCGTTCGCTTTTCATGTAAGTGTTTAAACAATTATCATATTTCCTCACCTCTACCGTATATATTATATTTAACACAATCTAATATAGTTTTAAATGCACTCTCTTACATTCAGTGCAAATAATTCTCAAAAATTTCTTGACTTTAACATCAACGAAAGGATGAATCTCTTGACGACTATGGTCTGTAGGTTACCTATAAATCGCTAACTGTCAGCTAAAATGACGATATTAGCTTTAGTGTCAGATATTGGTTTTCTAGTTTCTAGTTTCAGTCTCATGTTAATTCCAGTATTATTTGGGAAAGTTTTAATATGCTCAATATACGTGTACAGTATCCTTCGTCATGCGTGGTTAACGTTTCATATATGGTATTGTACTATAGTGCAGTTATTATATAGTTACAACCTGTGCAAATTGTTTGCGTTCGGCATCATTGCCATTTTCCGACAAAATTCGGCAAAGTGGCATTAAATCATCAGAATGACTGGAAAAGGTACTTGGCTTTGCTTATAGGTTGAATATCTATTTTTTCTGTAAATGACCAAACACTCAGGTAATGTCCCCTATTCGTGAAACACGGTGACGGCCAGGACGAACGAGAAGAAGTAAAGAAAGGGAAAGATAAAGCGAGGCGGCCGCAACCTAGTGGATATGTGTAGCCAATCGGCTTACCGAGTGAACAGTGCCTATAGCAGCGGCGAAAGTAAACTCTACCGCGATGAGCTTTGAACCCGTGAATACTAACTTGTTGGTCACGGTTAACTCCCGTTAAGTAAAGTTGCAAAGCAAAATTGCAGTGTAATCTATTTAATAGCAAAAGTACTTGTCACAAGATACTTTTCATTCAAACTGTTACTTCTTTATCTTCCATGTGCCATGAAGAACTTATGTTATCACTTATATTATTATTGTAATTACGATTTTATAAAAAAGTTTTCTTTAACTTGCTTTTGTGACGAAGTGCTATCTGCTAAAAACTATTTCGCGCGCTTTCATGATTGTACAGTGTGACTCGATTAAACGGGCGGCCGGTTCAAGATCTCTCAGAATGGAGTTTCCTGATTAATAATTATACGAGAGCATAAAGATAAAATTTAAATATAATAATAAATTACATAAGTGGAATATTCGATACATAGCATCCAAAATAATAGGCTGGCGGGAAAGTGCTATATAGTATTTTACTACCTACGGCTAATATTACTTGTCAAGTCAAAGCAAACATTTACAATGCGCCATTCATTTAGTATCTTGGGATGTATTGCTATGTTCCTATCTTCCATCAGTTACTTACAGTATTTCAGTCACTTTCAATATCTCTCATCACTTATTTGTGCAATATAGAATGAATAAAGTAGAGCAGTTGATAAAATGCATTTGGTATCTGTTCCAGAAAGGAAGCAACGCATAGTTTGCTTGTAAAAACTTGTGTTGTTACGTTGGGAGGTAAAGCTATAAGTGCTCGGACCCGTCGAACATGATTTTACAAATTTCATTCCTCAGATTTTAGTCTTAAAAAAGATGGACGATCTGACCCGATAATGACAACGTGTGCTCGATGTTGGAGGGTAAGTCGTCGTCCACCATTCGACTTTTGGGAGTTTTAGTTAAAATGTGAGGAACTTTCCTGTTCGTTTATTCTTTTGTATAATCTATACCTGCTATTTATTGGCCTCTTTGCCATATTTCACGTTAGATCAAATTAGTTAATTCCTCGCGGCGTCTTCATTTGATTAGAAAACATAAATCCTTCTGTTGTTATTATTTCATTGATTACCTTCTACCAGCTTCAAATTCAAAATTTACCAGCTTGGTGATATGTTGAGTTGTTTTGATAAGACCGTTGGACTTTTATGGCCAGAGAAGACTAGGATCTTATGAGCCGATCATATAAAGGATACCGATCCTTATTTGCTGCTATGGCGTTTTCGCTCATTGCAAAGATACCCAAGTCTCGTTGCTTGTTGTAACAAACAGACAAGTTTCGTTGTGATTTTTATTAAGAAGTTTCTATAGAGGCATTTAAATGTTAAGCGTATCGTCGATCGGCTAGCTAACACCTTCACGAGTTTTTTCGTAAGACTCGCTTGTTACTGGCTAATCTGGTCTTCTCCTTATCAACCAACTTATAATTTAATTTTTGAATAATAAAGTAAATCATTTATGTACTGCCGTATATGGATCACACCTCTTAAGATGCTTCTCATAAAGATTTGTCGTACCTCCCGGATCCACATGCCCTACTAATTATTAGTTGTGGGTTTTGCGCTTGTAGACATAGTTGACCTCGATCGTCCTCGCCTCCTTTTTCTATTGTTATAAGTCAAGAGCGTGCCTTTACTTTTAAGTCCCGACGTAAGATATGCTATGTTAAATGGATTTGGAAGTTTACCGAGATTAACAATATATATGCCATAGAGTGTTTCTTCATTTCAAGTCTAATATGCTTCTTCCTTTAAGATTTAGTTAGTTCGAAACTTATTGATAAACAGTTGCGGATTTTGGAAAATTAAAAGTGGGAGTACGTGCCAACTAGTATGCAGGTGGCCTAGTTTGGAGAACACAGACGGTTGCCTGCATTAAGAAAATCAAGCTTTTGAAATACGACATGGAAGCTAAACTTTAAGCACAAAATATCCTATGGTGGGGGGGGAATTTTTTTAAAATTCTAGGATACGTTCAGCTTAAATTTTCTATCTTAACTTTTTTGATCGTAAACATTTCGATAAGAGACGTTCCAGACGATCGTATGAACGAACGGAGGCACTTACGCAGGAGGTACCGCGTAGTACACCCAATAAATATACAAACTACCCCGGCATTGCTCATAGGCTACTGGAATTACGAAGGAGCGATGTAGGCTTGGTCACAGGCTTCTACATAATGCTCGTATGTAGTACCTGAAAAATACGAGGATTCTAGACGCTGACTTGTGCAGATTCTGCAAATCGACGATTGAAATATCCCAATCGCGGCCTGCGTGAGTGTTCGACCATCTGTCGACTTTGACTCGAACCAGATGTTTGGTAGACACATCATACAGCCGGACACATTATGGCGCTTTGAACTAAAAACATGGCGAGAGTCATGAGATTCCTAAAGTTATAGAGCTAGACAATGGTTCGTTGAGATCTCACTACGGATTACGTACATAAAGCACGCCAAATTTATATATTTTAGGTGTTCGTCTAAAGAGCATTTGCGTATGTTACATATGCACGTGCGAACGTAATATGTCCCGATAATTACGATACAAGGTACTACAAAAGTGATCATAGATAGAGATGCAGAGATTTAAAAGAGTGTTCGGTTGAATTCGGGCAACAGAATGCAAAAATTGCAAGGACCCCACCTTAGAAAAGAAAAAGATGTTTACAGTTATCTTAGTTAATAAAGATTTAATAATCTTCAGAAGACAATTCTATTCCTTTATATCTGAGGGAATTAAAATGAAAAAATGAAAAAATTATCACGTAACCACTTTTATTTGAAAGGGAAGATTTAGATAAATTTTGCATCATTTTTCCTTTATTATTAAAATCGTGAAATGTAGGATGAATTTAGGAAAAGGGGGAGAGGAGAGCACTTAAGGTTTGATGCTCATCGCATAGTCATTCAAAGTTCAAAGTAAGTAATAGATAGTTAACGGTTTATTACTAACAGATTTTTTTGAGTGTATACCTAGAAGCAGTTATTTAATTGTTTGGTTGCCTTTCTTTATCAAATGTCAACCTTTATTGCAAGTGTTACTGTCGTGTGTTGTTAATATTTATGTAAATGAATAATAGGGGAACGTTTTTTTTTTTTTTTTAATTTATTTTTTTTAATATTATTATTATTATTGTGTGTAAACACAATACATTTACTGCCATTGCTTAGGACGACCAATTAGTTGTGTGTGTATGTATTTTATGTGGGAGGCACATGTGCCCATAAATCAACATATTTAATTTGTTTGTGTATTATAGCAACAACAATAAGTGAGAAAATGAATATTTCTATAAGATTTTAATAGGCTTTTATATCTGACATCTTTGCCTCTTTGCTGTTGCTCTTATTTTTTCTTCACAAGAAAAAAAAAAGAAAAAGCATATTGTTTGTTTTTTCCCATTTCTATAAGAGATAATAAATAGTAATAAATTTTTTAATTCTAATCATTTTAATGAAATTTCTAAAAAATTATAAATTGAAATAAAAAACAAAAAATTTTATTAAATAACGTCTGTGTCTCTTATTTCTTTCTATCCATGCCTACAATAGTCTGCAATTACGTCTCATAAAACGCCATTTACAGATATTATGCCTTTTTATAACGGATGTTGGCGCAGAAAGGTCGGTACTTGTTATTTTTCTTTGCTTTTGGCTTAGTGTACTCTTTTTTTGCTCATATTTTTTTTATAAAAATTTTCTTTTAAGGTTTGCTGTGTCGTAAAATTTCTCTTTTCATTTTCTTTTTCGGTTTTACAATAATTTCACTTGAGGTTCATCATAAATCCTTACTTATCTATTTTGCGTTTTTCGCTTTATATTTATATGCTTATGCACATAAGAATGTTTATGTAAGCTTTTCTTTTAACCTCCACCTTAACGTTTCTGCTATTGAATTTAAACACCTACATACCTTATATATACCTTATACATGCAACAAATGCAAGTAGGTAGGCTTCAGGTTCATTAAACACTTTTTGTTTTCCTCGTTCTTTTTTTCCAATTATTATTATTATTATTTCCATCGTATTGAATAAAAAACCATGTTTAGTTAGTTCGCTTACTGTCAACTTTTAAGTTTCTTTTTTTTTTTTTTTTCTTTTGTATAAATGAAGAAAAAATTATTTTCGCCTTTAAAGTACATATATACACAAATATACTTTAAAGTACGTATATGTATATAGATATGTATACACCTAACGCTTTTTTTACACGAATTTTTTCTACACGAAATTTGTGGAGCTAATACAACTTAAAAAGAATAAAAATCGATACAAGAATTGTCTTGTTTTAAAACGGCTATCATTATTCTATGAATTTGTTCTGTGGATTCTTTTCATGAATTTTTCAGATAAATTTTTTTTTTTTTTTTGATGTTTCCGTGCATTTTTTGATTCTTATTTCTCACAAGCATGCGTTGTGTAATTTTGCGTTATAATTTTCGCAATTCAGTTCGATTATGTTCGCATATGAGTAGGATTCCCCGAATTATGCGTAGAGTAAGCACATAGTGTATTTTTTACTTAATTTAGTTTGATTTTTCAAAGTATAATTTATTTTTTATAATACATTAATTGAATTAAAATGTATAAACAGGAATAAATTCGTAAGTAAACTCTAACGAGAATTTTTTTTTTTTATGTACTTTTCAATTACTTTTGTAGCCATGGAACCAATTGACTATTTTTTTATTTAACCAACATCTTCTTTTACACAAATATTTTTGGGAACGTATTTATTAAAATTTGAGCTAAGCATATGTGTATATACGCCAAAACTCCGCTTTGCGTGGTTTCATTTGGCGTTTTTCGACGTTGCATCCTCCTTCAATTATGATTAATTTTCGTTTTGCGTTACCATATTTTCGATTGGCGTTGTGTTTCTTTCTCGTGAAGAAGAATTCTCCGAAAAATATTTACAATCGCAAATGTTCACTTGTTTGGTACAAAATATAGTTGGATTTGGAAGCCTACTATCGGCCAAAATAGATAATGTAAGATATTTTTGTGGGCGCCTCGTGAATCTATATTAAAATATCTTTTGAATGAGCTAAATAAATTCGAAATATTCGAACTTTTCACCCTTACCACAACTATTTTTAACTATCATTTTCTGAATCCATTTAAGCACGGGGGTCGTCTACTTCCAAAATATTTGAATAAAATTTGATTACAATATGTTTTGAGTCAAAGTTGACTTTTTTCTTAGACCGCTTTTGTAGAAGTAGTACCGAGTTTCAGACCAATACATACAAAATTCACGTCAGAAGTTTAGAAGGATTCCATCTTCACTAGCCCTTAGCTAAGAGACAAACTTATTGTAGAAGGGACGAACGGACAGACGTGGTGAAATATAATGTTACTATACCTCCGTGTCACGATGCTCGCGAAAAAACTTAGAAGAGTGTTGAAAAGTCCAATTAAGTTCATGTTTACCACTTTCCTTTTAAAACAGCCGTTTAGCCTTGATTAATCCGAACTTGCTAAATCTAAATCAACATTTACCAAACCGCCACGTAAACGTGAACGCGTTCATGATGAAGGTGATTCCAAAAGAGGTGACATGCCATAAGTTGAAATGAAGATCTTTGACCATTGGCTGCAATGAATCGTCTGCTGAATTTTCAATTGCTTCCACTGTTTGAAAGATTTTACAGGCGTATTATAACCCTTACCTTTTATGGCGCGAAATAGACTTCGTCTAGGACGAAAAATGCTGCAACACGCCTGCAGTACCTCTTGGAATACCACTAATTCATTATGAGAAATGCGTAACGGCCACGTAGTCTGCAAAAACACCCTTTATGAAAAAATTTGACCAAGATTTTTTACCTAATAATTTCAAATTTTTTTTCACAAAGAATATATATAGATATGGGTGTCCCCTTATTTCTACTTCGAAGCAAGTGCAAAACATTATAGTGGACCACGGCCTGAGATTAAATACCCTGCACCACTTCGCTTAATATATTGAATTTTCGAAATAAGGCTTAATCTGAGAAGCCTCAATAGCATTCGTCCTTGGCCCAAAACATTTCAGTGTATCAAATTTCATCAAAATATCTCACATGCTGCGATCCATATGTTAGACAAGAAGAAAACAAGACGGAAGGACGGACGGACAAATAGACAGGCTTAGATCGACTCGGTATAATAAAAGTTGGGTATATGTCAAGTCTTTCTGGATACTGCATACATCCGCACAAAACCTAATACACCCTTGTACCACAGGCAACATAATAGGGTATAAAAAGAAGGAAAATTGTCGAAAAACTTAAGTCCATCTAGCTAGGAATTATTACGCTGTTGCATGATGAGATTAATAAGCGAATAATCAAATAAAAATAAAAACGTTTAGAGGACATATATTCAGAATACACAAACAGGGAAATTATGCAAAACTCTAAAAAAGACAAATTTTCCTTAATACGGTTTAACGTTACTTCCTTCTAGTGATTGGTGTTGAAATGATAAAAAAAGAATTACTCACTTGTAGTTTTTTGGCACTTTTCGGAATCCGATTTCTCCTTCGAAAACCGGTTTCTTACTCTTAATAAATTTTTAATCTACTTCAAATCCGCCTGAGTGGCCGAGTAGCTAAGAGCCTCGACTAGCAATGCAATGATCGTGGGTTCAAATCTCAAGTGCGGTAGAGTTTTTAAAAAGCCGAAGGCCTTAGATGCTAGTGCTTTAAGACTTTTAGTCTTAGAATTTATTCTCTGCCTAAATTTGTAATAATAATATTATTATTATTATTATTATTTTAATTTTAGACTAATGAATTGAATTCTTAGACTAAAAAAAGAGATATTGAGCACTAGCAACACAGGCTATCGGCTCTAATTTAAAAAAATGGATATTAGATAATAAGCTTAGTAGTATTAATAAAGTAAAATATTGAATTGATATTCTGTTCTGAAGTTGATTGTAGAATGTACAAAGGGTTAATCATTCCAAATGCAATACTTCTAGCCAAGGAAAAGTTGAGGCAGTCGCAGAGAATGTGCTTTATAGTAAGAGTTTGTCCACAACAGCAGATTGGGGGAGAAGACTTCTTCAGGATCCATTGGTGAGTTGCAATTGTATGACCAAGGCGAATTCTCGAAAATGTTTGGATCTTGGTTTTCTCAACATTTGTTGGATATAGAGGTTGAGTTAATTGAGGGTTAATGCAAGAGTAGAGTTGATGATGGTATTGTAAATTTCCTTCTGCAATTTTCTCTTTAACTTTTCTTCCAATGTATCTTTGAAGATCCAACTTTTCTATGACATCATCCATAATTGGAGGAGCAGAAGCAGCATACTTTGCCGCTCGATCAGCCTGCTCATTTCCCAGTAAACCGATGTAACTTGGTACCCATAACATTTTAATTTTTCCGTCGGGTGTAGTAATTATATTCCTTAATTTGTTGATGGTGCTCCATCTCGAAGTCGAAGGGTTCCGGGTAGCTAGTAATACAGACAAACTGTCAGTAACAATGACGGTTTTGAGTTTGTTTTTATGGGCAAGGTTGGCAGCGTGAAGGATAGCTCTGGCTTCGGTTATGAAAGTTGAAGTGCTTTCGTGAAATATGTGGTTGAGAAGAACCCGTCCTGTAGTATCTACCACCGCACAAGCAGGAGGCAGGCCAGGAGATTTTGAGCCGTCTGTGTACAAAAGATTCCAACCAGTATTGTCCAATACTTGGGTTTTCTCAGCTATTAGATTCCTGAAGACGTAATTTGGAGTATCTTCTTTCTTGTGCATAGACAGTGAGATGTCAAAAGAGCAGTCTTTCAAAATCCAGGGAGGTTTAACACCAAAAGAGCGGGAAATTT